AAAGTAGCAAAACTAGGCAAAGCCCCTGGACCCGATGGAATTACTACGGAAGCCATAAAACTGTTGGAATATGATAACATCGACATGCTGGTAACAATTTTCAATGCCATATATAACACCGGTCACATTCTAACGGATTGGCTTTATTCAACCTTTATAATGTTCCCTAAATCACAAAGAGCGACAAAATGCAAAGACCACAGACTGATAAGTTTAATGAGCCATTTGCTTAAGGTGTTTCTTCGCATCCTTCACACAAGAATGTTCAGAAAACTGAAAGATCTAAGCGATGAGACATAATTTGGTTTTAAGAGCGGACTAGATACACGTGAAGCAGCTTTCTGCTTAAATACGCTTGTACAAAACTGCATGGATCAACGAAAGGATATAGTCATAACATTCCTCGATTATGAAAAAGCGTTTGACACCGTAAAACATGACGCAATGATTAAAATGCTACACAACGCTAACAGTGACGAGAAATATATAAGAGTTATCTAGAATCTCTATTGGAAACAAAAAGCACGAGTGAGACTGAACAAATCAACCAACACAGAAGAATTTGAAATTTTAAGGTTGATCTGCACCCCCCAAAAGACAAACTCCAAATTCAAAAAATTTGAAAAAAATTGAGAAGGTATATGTGATGACTAGAAGTATTTTGACAACTTTTAAGCAAACTTCATGTTTTCGTTTTTGAAAAAACTCAAAAAAACTACTTTTTTCCAAGTATAAAGCGGGAAAACCAAACATAGGATTTTGTTAATTTTTTTACAGCATCAAGATATACTTATAAGAAACAATTATGAATTTTTTGAAAATTTTTGAATTTACAGTTTTGTCACAATAGGAAAAAATAATATGTTTCGGCTTATAATAAAGCTACCGGTAAGAAACCGAAAAATTTTTTAATAACAACATATATAAAACTGTAAAAGTGGAAAATATTTGCAATAAAACGTTAAATATTTTTTCCTAAACATATGAAAAATCTCGTTAAACAAGAATTATGTCTTGAACTGCCGCTCTCAAATTGTAATGTTGGGAGATGGCTCCATCTGAAACAATGGTAGTATTTATCATCGATAGATAGCATTAAGGTGCGTATACATATGCGCGCCGCGAACCTCGCGCCTTGTGTGCGCCGCGCGTTCGTGGCGCGTTCAATGTTCGTTGAAATTTTTCATTTTGACGAACCTTCCGCGATCCAAAGAAAACTGACGAACATTTAGTAATTGTAGATAATCATGTCTCTGTCAAGCGATAAAACTTACGCTATTTCTGTGATGAGTGGTGCTTTCTTGGTAATGGCCAGTTTGTACAAAAAGAAAAGGAAGCAACGACGTCGGTGACACACCAACCTGTTTAAAACACGAAATGGTTCCGAACTTATGATGGATTTGAAGTCTTAAAAAATAAGTGGCCAATATCAGAATTTTACACGAATTACGTCCGCATGTATATTTATTTCAGCTTCTATTTCCCTCCAGGCATCGGCTTTAAGTGGTTTTTTAAAATGGTTCTTATGTTGAGGATCCCACAATAGGGATTTCCCACGGTAAGCATCAATAAGTTTGATAATATTTTCTTCTGACCACTCCATTACTACCAAATATTTTAAGATAATATACTATTATAATACTCAGACGCGCCAAAAATCAACACACCTTTCACTAACCCGTCCAAATATGTAATGCGAACCACCAAAGTGTTCGTTGAAAAACCGACAGAAGGTGGATCGTAGTGCGCCGTATGTGCGCCGTTTGTGCGCCTCTTGCAAACACGTACTAACCTAACGAACATGCTACAAACGAACAGCGCGCGCGCCGAGCGGCGCGCATATGTATACGTACCTTTATGTTCGGCTTCGAAGCGCTTCAAACGGAACGTCATACTAACAGGGTTGCCATATCAATTACTTTGGCAGAGTTATCAGTTTAAATTTTGAACTGGTCATGCTGAAACTTAAGGCCCGTTTTCACGCTACGTCTTATTGTACGTTTTGTTGGTCATATAAAACGTACGACAAAACGTACGTTTTGTCCAGTATATACACACTATGTGTTTCCTTCCGACAAGACGTACGTTTTGCTGTTTACATGCAACGTTTTATTGTATAGGATTTGTCCTATCCAACAAAACGTACAATAAGACGTAGCGTGAAAACAGAATAGTAGATACTGCAACTTTTATTTTGAAAGTACGATATCATAAAATTTACACTCTATAAGTAATATATCTATAAAAGACCTATTTAGTTTTAAAAACCTATTTAGGCGTTTTTAGTTAATTATTTTAGTATTTATAAACAATAGAGTAGTATATCTTTATATGCTGTAGTCTAATTAATTTTTAATATCTCACTATTAAGTACAAAGTGTTATTTTGAAATTTTCATTCTTCGTTGTTCCAAAAACACCATTTTTTAGAACTAGGCAGCATACAAATGTTTGATGAAATGGTTTCAGCATAACTTGCAGAACAATAATTAGTAAGTGATCCTCCTTATTCTCAAATAGTAGTCCTTATTGGTATGCAAGTTATTCTGAATCTATTTCAGCAAAAAATTGTGTGCCGTCTCAGAACAATCAACCGAAACAATTTTTTTACAGATCCACCCTATTAAAAAATGTCTGTCCGTCAAAATTCGTGTATGTCGTTCTGCACAACAACTCATTTTTACCAAACTTTGCACAAAATTCCATAATAATAGTTCATAGTTTAATACAGAGCTGTATACAGGATGATTTAGAGAATACTTTATTTTTGGTCATAGTTTTGCAATTTTCATATTATATACTTAATAAATATTACCAAGACCTTTAGAATGGATTTTGTCCAGGGCGTCTAACAATATGGCGATCGCTATAACATCACAAAATTCAAACCGATATTTTTAAATTACTCTTGGAACAAATCAACCGATATAAATAGGCTTTACAGCTCATACAACTTAACAAATGTTATATTTATGACCTTTTTGTAGTGTAACTGATGTCACAAAAATACTAATATTTACAATAAATTTTCTTGGAATGAGCTTGAAAGTTTTTTTTTTATTTCATAAAGTTCGTTGGGAAAGTTATATATTTCAGTTTCTGGTAGATAACTACTATTACAATGTTCTTAGAGATAGGAACTTTTTTGGATACGATATGATAGCATACGGAGTGGCAGTAATGTGTCTTACGAAAAAAGATGAATAAAGAGTAAGAATTATTAAAAGAAAAATTATAAGAATAAACAGACCAATAAAGCCAGAACAAGGAGAATATAAAAGACTAATGAAGCATGAAATAAGAAATATAAATATAACCGAAGAGGAAGACATAGTAAAATTAATTAATCCATAAAGACTTTCTGTTATGTTATTTCCCACTAAAATATTACAAAATACCAGATCATTTAATTTTTAACTATCAACAAAAATGTAATATAATATGATGTACGAATTTAATGGTAATGCGATATTCACATATACAGCCGCAAGTATAATAATTTCTTTGTCGATAAAATTGTTTAGATAATGAATGTTTATTTGGCATATATTCCGACTGACACAGGAGAGCAGTAAATTATTATACATAAAGATGTTGTTAAAGATATCTTTACTTAGTTGGTCTACTAGTATAAGGTATAGCGTATTTGATAAAATTACTGTCTTCACAACTTGGCAACTCAGCGAATGGATATAATGATAGAAAACTGCAATTTATGTTAGGGTTTAAAAATATTACAGAGTAATCATGTAGAAATCTACAATTAAGTTAAAAAAAAATTACCAGAGCACCATGCCGCAGTAGAGCCATCTCTAGGATCAGAAACAAATTAATTGAGGGCAAAGATCAACCTTAAGAGGGGCGCGACAGGGGTGTATTTTGTTTCCTATGCTCTTCAATCGCTATGTGGAGAACATTTTTGCAGAGGTAAACGGGTTACCGATAAATAACATTCGTTGCCGACGACACCGCGATAATAACAGACAACGAACACGATATGCAGTTGATGTTAAATAAAATAAACACCAAATACTTGGGAATAATGATGAATGACCAATGGGATCCTCAACAAGAAATAAAATGCCGTACCGAACAACCAAGACAAGCTTTTATCAAATTTAAACCGCTACTATGTAACCGCAATCTTTCCTTCAATCTCCGCTACAGGATGGTTAAATGCTATGTATGGTCCATATTGTTATACGCATGAACATGTACGTTAAGTACCTTCCATTAATAAGTTGGAGGTCCTTCGAAATGTGGACGTTGCGAAGAATGTTCCGCATACCATGGACAGATAAGGTGAGAAACGAGGAAGTCTTAAGAAAGGCAAATACTGAGAGAGAACTACTCAATTTGATCAAGGTACGAAAAATTGGATACCTCGGCCATATTCTGAGAGGAAAAAAATACGCAATCCCTCAACTAATCATCCAGGGAAAGATTGAAGGCAAGAGAGGAGTAGGTCGCAAACAAATGTCGTGGCTACGAAACATAAAAAACTGGATAGGCATAAATATCACTTGCGATCTTTTGCATGCCGCAAAAGACAGACGTCTGGCCTTAAAATAATTCGCCAACGAAGAATATTAAAGAACGAACAGGCTTTAAAGCCTACATACAAGAAGGAACAAGAAGAAGAAGTATTGATTCCTTTAATATAGAACATAACAATTAACTTGTAAAATTATGTTATGTTAAGCAAACTTTCTATGCTTCTTATTTTTTTTAACTTAAAATTATGTTTACTTTTTGATTTACAAATACTTATAAACTTTATGGGAATGCTGGGTTTGGGGAGGGCGGCCAAATTACTCTCACACACGGCAGCATATACCCTCTGAATGGCCCTGCACCCTCACGAAAAAATCCTCCACACGCCTATGGTATGAAATGAGTTAGAATAAATATGATGGTAGAAGTTAGAGTTCTAAATATGATGGTAAACTAGTCAATACAAGACAAAGGGACATGAATTAAAAAAATATTTTGATTACTTACAATGCTACACCCGAAATAAACGTTATCTTCTGCCACAATTTCCAACTCTTAAAAAACTGTTTTTTATTCATATCGTTCTGACCATTCTCTACAGATGTATAAACTGAATCCACTGATTTAGAACGCTAAAAATAATTATTAGTTGTAATCAAAACATACACTATTTGCTAACATCCTTTTTATTCTGCTATTAAATATCACTTACAAAACATCGAAGTTTTCCCATGTTTCTATAATTTTATTATTTCGGTCAATAAAGTAATAAAAGCAAAAAAATTGTCGTTTGTTGAGGGAAATCAATACTCGGAAAATTATCTTCTTATCTTTAGAACTTTTGTTGCGTGCGTTATTGACTGGATTCACATACGAGTATTAGAAGAACTATCAGCGAGTTCGATATTTTAAAATATATAATTTTTTTAAGATAATCTTATCTTCCAACAAATTCGAATTAGCCTGAATACCACATGAAGTATTCGATGAGTTTGTAAGAATATGCTTATCGTCGGAATTGCCGATTACAAATTGTGGTTCGGCGTTCTAGTAAATATTTGTATTTACTTTTCGTATATTACGTATTTGCGATAACTAATGCTAAAATAGATAAAAAGTACCTTTTTGCGCTAGTTGTACCGGAAATAGGTTTGAACCCAACCAGCAAGTAAAGATTCAACTGCTTTCAATGACTAGCTTGTAGGTGATTTATGAATCGACAAGAGCGTGTACTTTTTCACAATACCAAAACTTCTGACACATTTAAATGCGGTAAATTGGGGAATGACAACAGTAATTGGGCAACGAAGCCAAAAATCATTGTTTTCTAATAAATAGTTTCTTTAAGAAAACTTAAAGAAACAACATTTGTTAATAAGCTCAACAAAATTTCTTCTTCTTATGGTGATTATCCGTTACGAATGTTGGAAACTAACATGACTATTCTGACTTTGTTGTCTGCTGCCCTGAAAAGTCCGGTAGTGGTTAAGTTAAACCATTTTCGCAGGTTATGCAGCCAGGATATTCTTCTTCGTCCTGGACCTCTTTTCCCATGCACTTTACCTTGAAGTATGGTCCGAAGTAGGTCATATCGTTGTTCATTGCGCATTATATGGCCCAGGTATTCCAGTTTGCGACGTTTTATGGTTACGACTAGTTCGCGCTCTTTACCCATTCTATGTAGTACTTCTTCGTTGGTAATTCTGTCTATCCAGGAAATCCTCAACATGCGTCTATAGCACCACATCTCAAATGCTTCGAGTCTCTTCAGTGATGCTTCAGTTAAGGTCCATGACTCCACGCCATATAAAAGAACGGAGAATACGTAGCATTTTAGTAAACGAATTTTTATTTCCAATTTTATATCGTGGCTGTTAAATATTTTTTTCATTTTGACGAAAGCTGATCTTGCCTTCTCGATCCTTATCTTAATTTCCGTCGATTGGTCCCACTGTTCATTTAAGTTTGCACCCAGATAACAAAAGTTGGTGATTTGTGTTATAGGTTGTTGGTTAACTAGTAATTGACCAGGTGGTATCCTATTTTTGCTTATAATCATGTATTTGGTTTTTTATGTTAAAATCAAGCCCAAACTTGCTACTTACTTCTGCCACCCTGGAGACAAGTGTCTGCAGACCTTCAAGACTGTCTGCAAAAATGACAGTATCATCAGCGTATCTTATGTTGTTCAATCGTTCTCCGTTTATAAGTATTCCCTCGTCTATGTCCGTTAGCGCTAGGTTCATAATGTGCTCTGAATATGTATTGAACAATAATGGGGACAATATATATCCCTGTCGCACACCTCTTTTTATCTTTATGTCGTCTGTTAACTGATCACCAACTCTAACAGCTGCAGTTTGTTCGTAATAGATATTGTTTATTATACGGCGATCTCTGCTGTCTAGACCAATTGAATTTAATATTTTTATCAGTTCGTCATGTTTTATTTTATGGAACGCTTTCTCGTAATCAACAAAGCACTCATATACCATTTTTCAAAGTAAAACACTTGCACGTCACGATTTATACTAAGTGACGTCACTTGTATTTAAAATTTCCAGAACATCAACCTTAGAGTTCAAATTTTCCTAACACAGCTAATAATATGAAACACATACGGAACTGCTCGATCTTTCATAGGCGTCAACATGGTGTAATAATCAGAAAAATGTAATCATCATTATATTGGAAATTTTAGAATTATATTGATTAAATAACCAAAAACATTTGTTATTATTAATAATATAAATTTTATGAAATAACTCTTTAAGTCTAATATTCCACAAAATAATAATTTTAATTAAATATATTAGACAATTGTACGCAACTGATACGGAAATACTTCAAATTTTATTGACAGTTAAGCGTGTGGCAAAAGTGTATAAAGTGTTGCCGCTTTTTTAGAGTAGGAATTTTGTTTATGTTTTGATTTCTTACACAATTTGATCATAATATAATATATATTAATAAATTGTATTTATAAATACATATTAAATTTAGATTAATAGCTTTAAAAACTAATTATTGTTGTGTATTGTGATTGTGATATGCCAAAACAAATAAATAGTCTGTAGAAAGCTGATAAGCTTTCATATAAGATAGATTATTTTGAACAAGAAATAATGGCGGGACGTTTTTACTATTAAAGCCCTAAAAGAGGTAAGTTTAAAATTTAGAATATATAATTTTGTATTAAAATGTTTTCTTATGTATTTTAATGAGTTGTAGTAGTCTTAAAACTAAGTATATTTACTGTTAATATAATAGTTTCACAAATAGTTGACATTTTAAAAATTCCTCACTTACTAACTAATGACGTGCAAGCTTTTTTATATGAAAAATGCTATATATATCACAATTCACGTCTCTGCATCCTCAACAAAAATTTAAACACCCTAAAATACATAAGGTAACATGGAGCTCACCAGATCATAAAACATACAGACAAATTGATCACATAATGATTAATAAACGAAAACAATCGTCAATAAAAGATGTAAGAGCATTTAAAGGTGCGTGTGTGAAGATTCAGACCACTACATGGTCACAGCGACTATAAGACAAACAAATAAAAGTTAAAATTGAAACAAAACAGAAAAACCAACATAAACAGTGGAATGTCAATAAAAAGAGTAATGAAGAAGAAACAAATATAAAGAGACAGGAACAGTTCAAATAAAAGAGAAATATAAAGCAGAAGATATAAACACAGAATGGGAGACGATCAATAAATCAATTAAAAAGGTGTAAAAGTCAGAAAAAAGACAGAGAAGAATATGAAAAATTAAGAAATAATGCTAAGAAAGTGATAAAACAAAATAAAAGAAGATGGGTAGACGAAAAAATGCAGGAAATGAAGCAGGAAAGAACAAACAGAAATACGAAACATTTTTACAAAAAAAATTAAAGAAGAAAACAAAAAATAGAGAAAAGAAAAACAAACGGAATAAAAAATATAGAGGAAACAGTGATAATAGAGGATTAAGAATACAAGCAAGTATGGAGGGATTACTACAGAGAGCTGTTGACGGAGGAAACAAAAGAAGAAGAAATGAATAACGAGGAGGAAACGGTACACAAAGAAGAATGAAGTAGACATCGAAATTTCAAAAGAACCAACATTAGAGGAATTGGAGGAAGTAATACAGAGAAGCAACAATGGAAAAGCCCCTGGTAAAGATGGAATTAATATAGAACTAATAAAATACGGAGGAAGGGAGCTAAGAGGAAAAATACTGGCACTATAGAAAAATATATGGAAAGAGAGAAAATTGGGAGGTAGATCATAACAATACATAAAAAGGAGGCCAATAAATGTGTGAAGATTATAGAGGAATAACGTTACGAAATACAACATATAAAATATTGACATCAATAATAAAAAGACGGATATCAAAGATCACAAAGAAAACAGTGAGAGAGTACCAATGTGGATTCACAGAAGGAAGATCCACAATAGATGCAATACACACAATAAAACAAATGATGGAAATATTGTTCTGAAGCTATTTTCTTGTGGCATTGTAAATTAATTACTATTAAACTGGGAATAAGCCACAATTAAAGATAAAAATATGTTTATTGACGTTTCAATTTCCACTTCGGAAATCGTTCTCAAAATACAAACAGTAAATTAAACAAATTTTGTTTTTTGTTACATATTGAAAAATTCTTCTAATAATTTAATTTTATCTGACTCATTTATATTGACAATTCAGATATACATTATGCATTTTAAAGTAGACGACTTTAAAGACGACTTTTTTTAAAGGGAATAATTAAATCCTTATACGATAGAGCCAAAATTACTTGTTCTAATGAAAATTCGTTCTTGGAGGAGAAAAATTTGTTAACATCTGTTTTATTAAAAAATGATTATCCTTTATAGTTTATAAATAAGGAATTTTCAACAATCGATCGAATAGAACATAACAACTTAGAACGAGATCCTACAGCATACACAAGGAATAATATGAGGAAAATAACAATACCGTACATAAAAGGACTATCAGAAAAACTTAAAAGGATAGGAAATAAATTCAACATTTCAACAACATTCAAAACAACAAACACGTTGAGATCTATTTTGTCCAAAACCAAACCTAACAATGAACAAGAAAGGACAAAGAATTGCATTTATAAAATACCTTGTGAATGCGATCAGTTTTATTTAGGTGAATCATCAAGGCCATTAAATGTTAGAATAAGTGAACATCAATCTTATATTAAAAATAAAGAATTTGATAGATCTCAAATCTGTAAACACGCATGGGATAATGAACATAGGGTTCAATGGAATAATTCAAATGTAGTCCTAAAAGAAACGGATGGTAAAAAAAGAAAAATCAAAGAAGCGGCTCTAATTATGCTAAATGAGGCCAATTGTGTCGCAAATTCCTCGGCAGAATGTAGTAGGATCTGGTTACCAATATTGAAAGAGGAAGTTATTAATAAGAAAATACCAGTATTAGTAAGTCAGTAACATATAGAGGATACATCATTTATGTTTTTTAAATAACGTAACATATAAAATCAGAATTTTGATGTTTGTTGAAGGTAAACTAAATTCACGAACAAATACTTACAATGTCGGGATAGTATTATGAGGTTTTTTTCCTGGTTTTCCCTCATAATTTACTATGGAATCACTAACAGGAGAATTTTACTGTCATCATGTCATGTGTTTGTCTTTTTAAAGACGAATTACATGCTATGATTTTTTTCTGACGGATATTCTCAAGTTAAAGTTGATTTCATGTAATCGAATGAACTATCTTATAAGTAAAGTCGTCCCAGGAGCGCAACTCAACAATATTGGCAATATCATTTTAAAGTCGTCTACTTTAAAATGCATAATGTATGTCTGAATTGTCAATATAAATGAGTC